AGACACTTGGTCATAGCAAAGTCATTCTTGTTTTACTTGGCATTTCTTTAACCACTGAGAAGGTTAAGTTTCTTTTCCTAAGTATATTGATGCTTTTCTCTTTTATAAAGTGAGTATTCTCATCTTTTGCTTATTTTTCTGTAGAGTAATTTGAATGCCTTGCCTCATATGGGAATTAGGTTACCCAGATTCCTGGGACTCAAAGCCCTCTTCCGTAATGATAGGTGTTAAATGAGGTTTTGTGTGTGTGCATGTGAGTAAGTGTGTATCCTTAAGCATGGCATTTGTGAGTAGAAAAAATTTTTCTGAGACTACTTTGATTGTTAAAATTAATGTATGATTTACTAAAGTTGTAACTAAGAACGTATTTTTCTTTAATAATTGGTTCATTTTGTAAATCTATTACATCCATAAAATTTAGCAAATTTTATCAGTTTTTAAGGGGGAATTTGATTAATATTTGGTTTGCTAATTAAACTCCCTTGAGAAATTTAAACTGCATTTGTAAATTTAATGTATTTAACTTTCTCTGAAAATACAACTGTGTGATAAACAAACCTTAAATAATAAGCTTTATAAATCAAATAACAACATATAAATATGGCAAAGTCAAGTTATCTTAAACTTTCTAATATGGTTTATGAATTTAGCACAATTTTCTTTTATCTTAAAATCACAAATCTAATAAATACTCATTATACATTTAAAAACTGGAATTATAAGACAAATCTGTTAGTCTATTTGCTCTTTAATATACCAAATTCTCTTCCTTGTTTTAAATAAAGGAAACCCTCGTTTTATTGTGCTTCACTTTATTGTACTTTGCAGATACTGTGTTATTTACAAATTGAAGATTTGTGGCAACCATGTGTCAGCAAGTCTATCAGCACCATTTTCCAACAGCATTGGCTCACTTCATGTCTCTGTGTCACATTTTGGTATTTCTCACAATATTTCAAATGTTTTTCTTACTATTATATTTGTTATGGGGATCTGTGATCAGTGATCTTTGATATTACTACTACCACTTATTGAAGGCTCAGATGATGGTTAGCATTTTTTTAGCAATAAAGTAGTTTTAAATTAAGGTATGTACATTGCTTTTTAGACATCATGCTATTGCACACTTAATAGACTACAGCATAGTGTAAACGTAACTTTTATATGCACCAGGAAACCCCAAAATTCATGTGACTTGCTTTACTGCAATATCCACTTTGTTGTGGTGGTCTGGACCCAAACCTGCAGTATCTCTGAGGTATGCCTGTACTTAAAATACTAGATAGCTATAGACTATTCCCAAATTTAATTCAAAATAGTAATAACTCAGGGTTTGGTTTATTTGACCACCTCTATACTTAACTCTAAATCTCCTCAGACATTTACCTATGAAGGAGGAAATTATTTCCTCCGAAGTAATTCAACATTGCCCTGTTGGGTAGCTGAGGTTGTACGTAGACTTGAGACTTTGGGGGGGATAAGAATATTTATAGCTGCAGACATTGTCAAATGACAAATTAAACAATTTAGTAATGAGTTTGATGTCCTTTATTCAAGGGAAAACAATCCATGGATTGGGGGAGTACAGTGCCTCACAAACAGTGGAGCACCTTCCCAAGGTATTTTGGGTAACAGTGAGTTTTACAAAACGTTACACGTTCCAACGTGGAAGGAAGGCATGGTTGATTGGGGTTGTATATCTGACCTTATTTAGAAGGAACAAGGAAATGAGTCCAGAGTCCAGAGCCGGCCTGATATATGGGATTGTCTGACTGGATACACTGTGTTTCTGCTCACATGGAACATTTACAGAAACATGAAAGTTTGCTGAGGTAGCACCCTGGACAGGAGCGGCTCCATCTTGGGCCTGGAGGTTTATTTCAACACGTCTAGGATGAGTTTTCTCACAATGATGGAGTACTAGCATTACTAGAAGGCTCTTTTTTTTCTTCTTTTATTTTGTCAAGGATTATCTTATTATTATTATATTTTTTAACATCTTTATTGAAGTATAATTGCTTTACAATGGTGTGTTAGTTTCTGCTTTATAACAAAATGAATCATTTATATATATACATATGTCCCCATATCTCTTCCCTCTTGCATCTCCCTCACTCCCACCCTCCCTATCGCACCCCTCTAGAAGGCTCTTTAATGTCCCTATGCCAGATAAGGGGCTCTCATACAATCCCCTGACCCTGCACTTGAGTGTGCGACCCTTAATTTTCACGTATGAGTTAAGCCCACACCCTCATCCACATTGCTTCACTAACTGATTGGATCCAGTGTATCATATCTAGTTATATTCTAGGCTGAATGATTTTCATATTCTTCCTATCTGTAGATAGGAAGTCCTACAAGTCTTACAGGTATTCAAATGACATCTGTTTGGATTCTGTAAAATCTATGTTTGTCTGATTCAAAGTTCAGAATTCTAACGTCATTCTTGTGACAACCGATAACACTTTTTTTTTTCTTTTGGCCAAGGCAAATAAAACAAGATAAGTACAAAGCTTTAAAGTTACTGCAATAAATAATCACTGGCAATTACCCAGGTTTAGTTCAACCATAGAGTTCTCCTTTCCTTCTTGTCTCCCATCTTCTGCAAATCACCACAATCATGTGTTATCACTTCACTGATAAATGTTGAATCCCTAGTTTGATTGGCCAAAGATTGGCTCTAAGTAGGGAGCTGATCTCAGAACCTGGAAATAAAGTTAGAAATAGGGACTTCCCTGGTGGCGCAGTGGTTAAGAATCCACCTGCCAATGCAGGGGATATGGGTTCAAGCCCTGGTCCAGGAAGATCCCACATGCCGTGGAGCAGCTAAACCCATGCACCACAGCTACTGAGGCTGCGCTCTAGAGCCCGTGAGCCACAACTACTGAGCCCATGCGTCTAGAGACTGTGCTCCGCAACAAGAGAAGCCACTGCAATGAGAAGCCCATGCACCGCAACGAATAGTTGCCCCCGCTCTCTGCAACTAGAGAAAGCCCGCGTGCAGCTACAAAGACCCGACCCGACACAGCCAAAAAATAAAAATAAAGTTAGAAATAATGTCCCTCTCTAAATGTGAGGTGAGTTATTTTAGAAGTAACCCTACCCAAGAAATGGTTTGCTAGTGTCACGCTGAAGTGTCATGAGAAACTCCTGAGTTTTATTTGGGCGAGACAGGTCCCCAAGAAAGCAAGCCTGACATGTGATGTGCGTACATTACATGCATGCACTTACACTGCAACAAGTGTGAGTACGGGAGGGTTCTGACAGAGGGGTGACAAGTAACATGGAGCCTAGGAAAAGGTAGCCAAAGAGGAGAGCCATGCCAGATGGTCTGCTGCCCGACCCAGCAGAGAGGCTGTTCTAGCCCTAAGGGCTGCAGCTGACCCTCAGGACCCCATAGTTTTAGTGTGGAGAGAGAGAAGTTCACTCAGGGTACTAATTTGTTGGAAATATTCTTTAAAATCATCTCCTTCCTTTGTCTCTAAACCTGTTCTCACTAAACAACACTCTGATCAGTAATAGGGACTCCAGGTGTTCTTGGTCTCACCCAGAATAAGTGCTATGAAAATGACCTAGATAGCTTTCATACCCAGAAGTAGTTTCTTCTGGAAATTGGGTTCTTGGTTTGTAGATCAGCCTCTTCCCAGAGTTTTATCTTCTTGGGTAATAATGGCTGGAATTAGATGTAAGGACCAGCAAAGCTGAAATACAGAATTGGCTGAGGGATCCTTTACCATCAGAACCCACCAAATGGGGTTCAGCCTGAGGCAAGTGACCAATTGACCTCCCTGCTGACTTTTCTTTAGCTATACTTTGACTATGAATCTGGTGAATGTAGAATTCAGGATCTGTAGGTTCTGATCTTTCAGTGGAATAAAACTAGATTTTATGGAAGCGGAAAGAAAAGTTCAGATAGGAAAGAAGTTGGTGATTGTATGGCAAATGGAAAAGCTATCATATAGGGAAAAGGTGAGTCTTGTTGAGGCTTTGGGAATAACTGGTTTCTGTTCATAGCAGAGACAAAAAGATCAGTAGCGTTTAAAGTTGCACGTTGGGACTTCCCTGGTGATCCAGTGGTTAAGAATCCACCTTCCAATGCAGGGGATGTGGGTTCGATCCCTGGTCGGGGAACTAAGATCTCACATGCTGGGGGGCAACTAAGCCCACACGCCACAGCTACTGAGCCCGTGCACCTCAACAAGAGAGCCCGCGAGCCGCAAACTGCAGAGCCCACGTGCTCTGGAGCCCACATGCCACAACTAGAGAGAGAAAATCCGCACGCCACAGCTAGAGAGAAGCCCGCACACCACAGCTAGAGAGGAAAAAACCCTGCACGCCACAACTAGAGAGAAGCCCGCATGCCTCAACGAAGATCTCGCATGCAGCAACTAAGACCTGACGCAGCAAAAATAAATAAATAAATAAATAAATATAAAGTTGCGTGTTATTCCTAACAGAGCTTGCTCTTTGTGGGGTAGCCCATTGTCGTGGTGAAGCGCATGGTCCCTGGAGCCAGCTTGTCTAGGATTGAATCCTGGCTCCAACACTTACCAACTGTGTAACCTTGGGCAAGTAACTTAACTTCTCTGTGCCTTGGTTTCCTTAACTCTAAAATGAGTTGATGTGAAGATTAAATGAGATGGTGTACACGAAATGATTAAAATTGCATCTGACATATAGTAAGATATGTTTTTATCATCTAATAATAATTGTGGAGTAGCTTCTTTCTCATGAATTAGATGGGAAAGAAAGCCAACCAGCAGCTTGTTAAGAAGTTGGCGTAAAGAATGGAAGAAATGGTTAGCTAACTCTTAAGTCTGTAATCTTTTGTGAATAGTAAAGGGCACAGACTTTTGAGCCCATTCAAACAGGAGTTATTGATATTTCCTTTAACCAGGAAATGCTTACATAGCACTTGTTAGGTGCCAGACACTGGTCTATGTGCCTTACAAATATTGACTCATTTAACCTTCCTTAAAAAAACTTGCTGTTATTAACAGGCCCATTCTACAGATGAGGAACCCAATGCGAGGAGAGCAGGGTTTCAACCCCGACTGTCAGGCTCCAGAGACATGTGGGATGCTGCCCATCTCCTCTCTTCAGACGGGATTGCAACTGCAGAGTAAGCGGACCAAAGAGGCTGGAGTCCAGTACTAACAAACAGTTCTGGTGCAAAACATTTTCTCACTTGTTTGCCTTGTTTAATTTTTTTCCTTCATCAGATTGGGATAAGAGAAGTTATAGCTTTCTTGACATGAATTGGGTTTAAAGTGTGCAGAATTTAATTTTCTTATTAGGATTATAAAGCTGGGAAACATAAACACCTGGGGTCACCAGGTCACTGCACTGCCCCAGCTTTGTAGCAAAGCTGTTACCGACCCTCTCGAGTCAGTCAGCGCAACAAGGGTCCTTCTGCTCAGTGTCTTTCGAGCCACTAAAACGAGACAGTTCAGTTCAGAAGCAAAGGAAAGCTTAATTCTTTGATCAAAGAATGGTCAGGTGCAAGCCCTTCCTGTAAGTGAGGTTCTCCCCGCAAGGTCGTGGGTGGGGCTGCTTTTTAGGGATCTTAGTAGCTGAGAGGGGGCAGAGTTGTTTTTCTTTTGTTTTTTAATTGTTGTTTTGGGTCTTCATTGCTGCGCGGGCTTTTCTCTGGTTGTGGCGAGCGGGGACTACTCTTCATTGCGGTGCGCCGGCTTCTCATTGCGGTGGCTTCTCTTGTTGCGGAGCGCGGGCTCTAGGCACGCGGGCTTCAGTAGTTGTGGCACATGGGCTCAGTTGTTGTGGCTCGCGGGCTCTAGAGCGCAGGCTCTGTAGTTGTGGCGCACGGGCTTAGTTGCTCCGGGGCATGTGGGATCTTCCCGGACCAGGGATCGAACCTGTGTCCGCTGCATTGGCAGGCGGATTCTTAACCACTGAGCCACCAGGGAAGTCGGGGGCAGAGTTTTTGCTTGACGGCACAGCTGGGCTGCTCATGCTCCAGATCACTGTGCCTGGTGCAGCATCTCCGCACACGGCACACGGCTGCCATCTTGAATTGCAGTGCCCTGTGCAGCGCTTCTCCACACGGTCCACCGAGCTGAGGTGTCAGGCGCAGCCATTACTCACTAGGAACTCTGGTCTGAAGTGCTGGCTGCAAGGCCTCTGCACGCGGCACCCTATGAGCGAGTACAACAAGACGGACTCAAAGGAAAAGAGAAAAAAGTTAGACTTAATTTTGTTACCCAGATTCTTTTTTTATTTCCTGGGAATTGTTAATGGGCTTTGCTGGTGACAAAACCACAGTGAAGATAAGTGATTACTCTTAGTTATGTCAGGCAAATTAAGGGCTGCAACCACTTACTATGCTTGACATTTTGTGCTGGTAGTGAGTATATAAGAATTAAATTTGGTAAATTCCTGCTTAGCCTGGAGTGTGTTTCATTTTGAAGGTATATTACTGTCCTTGGCAAAGTTTCTTCTCCTTTTAGAACTTTTGGAGCCTCAGAGATTGTTTAATAAGTTCAGTGTTGGTTTGTTAATAAGAAATTAAAGAGGGGGACTTCTTGAGGCAATGAAAACTCCATGTTCCTTTTACCTCTAAGTCTAACCTGTAACAGAATTAAAGGACAGGGACTGTGTATCTTTGTCTCTATGTTCTTAGCACCTAACACAATACCTGGCACAGAGTAGGTGCTCAGCTCATGCTTGTTCCATTCAATTGAATCTTGGGGTGCAACAGAAATGTGCTAGGTTAAATGCTCAGTTCAGAGAAAATACACTGACTCTTAGCTGAAATCCTCATAGCAATTATCTTTGGGTAGTGAGATTCTTGTGCTTTTTATTTCCTTCCTTATCATTTTGATATTTCTCCAAAACCACAGCTCTAGTCTTTGCAACAGATGACTGCTTATAGAAATGAGTGCCCTTCTCCTTATCTCGTTCCTTTTTAAATTGTGGTTTTTAATTTTACAAAAATTATATGGGCACAGCAGTCAAATAGTTGCTATGAAGAGGAAATGAGGACACCCTTTAGATTCTTTTAGTCAATTATTTTGGTATTTACCTCTATATATCTAAATAACATGCTTATGTTGCTTGTCTTTGATTTGTGTAGTTTCCATTGATTTCTCTATGGGGAGATAAGACTTTAACCTGTTTCACCACTCCCATCCCACCCCCAGGTACATTCCAATCACCCTCATCCTTGCAGAAATTTGGCCAGATTGTTACTCAGTGTTGGCATTATGCTGACTTTGTAAATAACTGTTTTTGATTCTCTGCACAATATTTTATTTTCTCTAGAGTTAATAATTATCTTTATTGGCTAACCTTTTGATGTTTTACCACTAAATTGACCTTCTTCCCTTCTCCCTTCCCCCTCATCATTCATATTTAATTGATATTGGCTGGGTGCGGAACCCCGGAATGGAAAGCCCTTTCTTTCTGAAATTTTAAGGCATAGCTAGCTCCCTTCTCTTCTAGCTTTCATCATGGCTATTGAGGAATCTGATGCCATTCTGACTCCTGACCCTTTACAAGAATCATGCTTCCCTCTCTGGATGTCTGTAGGATCTTCTCTGTCCTTGCTGCTCCTTATTTTCACTCTGATATGCCCCAGTGCCAGAGCCAGGGTCTGCTTTCACCCATTGTGCTGGGCGCTCCCTGGGCCCTATCAATCTGGAAATTCATGTCCTTCGTTTCTAGAAAATCTTACTGAATTTTTCCTTGATAATTTTATACTCTTCACTATTTTTGTGCCCTCTATCTAGAACTTCTATTATTTGGAAGTTACACTTCTATGGTTTTCTTTTCTGCACTCTATGTCTTTGCCTTAGCCCTTCCACTGAGTTTTCATTGTGCTATTGTAATTTCTGAGAGCTCTTTTTTGTTCTCTGATTGTTCCTTTTTTTTAATAGTGTTCTCTTCTTTATTTCTTTATTTTTATTTTTGGCTGTGTCGGGTCTTCGTTGTGGCATGCAGGATCTTCATTGTGGCATGCGGGATATTTTTGTTGCAGCAGGTGGGCTTCTCTCTAGTTGTGGTGCACGGACTTCTCTCTGGTTGTGGCGTAAGGGTTTTCTCTCTCTAGTTGTGGCGCGTGGGCACCAGAGCACATGGGCTCTGTAGTTTGCGGCATGCGGGCTCTCTAGTTGAGGCGCGCTGGCTCAGTTTTCCCGCGGCATGTGGGATCTTAGTTCCCCGACCAGGGATCGAACCCGCATCCCCTGCATTGGAAGGCAGATTCTTTACCACTGGGCCACCAGGGAAGTCCCTAGTATCCTCTTCTTGCTTCATGTATATAGTATTTTCTCTTATCTCTCTCTGAAGATATTGAGAATGTTTTATGTATATTTTCCCATTTGCATTTTCTGCTTCATTCAGGTGACTTTATTCTGTCAGCTCATTTTGGTCTCTACCTTTCATACTTGATGTTTCCTTCTAAAGTCTGTTGATCCTTAGCTATTTGCTCACATTTAAGAGTGGGGAACTAAAGAACTGCAAATTGGTAGTGCTTGTCAATTATTATCTTTGCTATTTTGCTCTGACTGGACTATTTCAGTGGATACCTGATATCAGTGTCCTAGGCTGTTGTTGTTTTGTTTTGTTTTTTTTCTCTTGGATTTGTCAAATTCCCTAGAGAAGCTCCTCCAGTCTCCCACCTGGAGAGAGTATCTCTGGCTGCCACCATTTTGGTTGCTAAATGTAGGAAGAATGCTGGGCCCAGGGTTTCAGTGCTCCTTATGTACATTTCACTCCATCCCATTTTCAGTACAATATCCATGCCCTCAACTCTGCCAAATGCCCAACCCCATTCTCATCTAGATACCTCTTGCTGTATCTTCATATTGTTGTATCTACACCCCCTCTTCCCAGGTGTGGGAGGGACAGTTGCTGTACATATTTGGGAGGGGATCCAATGGTCTGTTTCTTAAATAGGCTTTCAAACAATCCTTTTCTCCATCCCTTCTCTACCCCTAATTCCAGAGATATCTAGTGCTTCAATTCTTGAGCCTTTGGGAGTTCTTCAGCTAAACTGAGTTGCTTCTTAGGTCCTCCGTTGCTGGCTTGTTAGTCAACATTTTCAATTCTGCTAAGTCGTTTACCACTTTCCATTTGCTTTCTCTCTCCTAAAACTGTGATGCTGTGAGTCTTCTCTATTTCTTGTGGTTTTATTGCCTTATTTAAAAAGATATTTACTATCATTTTAGTGGATTTTCAGGAGGAAGCACACATAAATTAATATGCTAAAGCTGCCACTGTGTATTGTTTTTCTTACCATTCAATCTCAAATGTCACAACAGATGCACAAACAGGTTCTGGGAACCTGCTTTTGTTGTTGCTGTTTTTATTGAAATATAATTGATTTACAATGTTGTGTTAGTTTCAGGTATACAGCAAAATAATTTAGTTATACATATATGTATATATATGTGTGTATGTGTATATTCTTTTTCAGATTCTTTTCCCTTATAGGCTATTACAAAATAGTATAATTCCCTGTGCTATACAGTTGGTCCTTGTTAGTTCTCTATTTTATGTGTAGTAGTGTGTATATGTTAATCCCAAACTCCTAATTTATCCCTCCCCCCTTCCTCCTTTGGTACCATAAATTTGTTTTCTATGTCTGTGGGCCTATTTCTGTTTTGCATGTAAGTTCATTTGTATCATTTTTTTAAGATTCCACTTATAAGTAACATCATATGATATTTACTTCACTTAGTATGATAATCTGTAGGTCCATCCATGTTGCTGCAAATGGCATTATTTCATTCTTTTTTTGACTAATATTCCATTGTACATATATATACCACATCTTTATCCATTCATCTGTCAGTGGACATTTAGGTTGCTTCCATGTCTTGGCTACTGCAAATAGTGCTGCAATGAACTTTGGGGTGCATGTACCATTTCAAATTATGGCTTTCTCTGGGTATATGCCCAGGAGTGGGATTGCAGGATCATATGGTAGCTCTATTTTTAGTTTTTTAAGAAACTGCCGTACTGTTCTCCATAGTGGCTGTAGCAATTTACAACCCACCAACTGTAGAGGTTTTCTCCATACCCTCTCTAGCATTTATTATTTGTAGACTTTTTAATGATGGCCATTCTGACTGATGTGAGGTGATACCTCATTTTAGTATT